GCGGCGGCGCGGTATTCTGCTCACCTGGCATGTTTCCATACCTCAGGAAATCCTGAGGCAGGTGGAGTGTAGGCAGTCTGGGGGGGGCAGTCACTTGACATGCGTGAAAAGCTGGAATGTTCGAGTTCGAAATTTACACTGTCTCGCTCGAGAGAGGGCCAGCGAGCAGAGTGCCACGCCGCCGCGTCCCCCCCCAACTCACTTAGCACCAAGATCCCTTTAACTTCATGATTTTCAACGACTTTCCTTACTCTCAGTGCATGTTTACTTTTACACGCATACACACATTTCCATGGACCCCTTTTGAGGCGATTCTGGTCGCAAAGACGAAGGAAATTTGAAGGAGTTTTTTCTTCCTCCAGACTTGGGGAAGGATCGGATACGACCATGGTGAAAACACACCTACAGGAATGAAGTGCACAAGTCATATGCGGCCACTGTCATACTTTGCGACCATTTTGCAGTTTGAATGAGGAGCAGATACGTATTGATCGTGCGATTGTGTGGGCGTATACTCCATACTCCACAACTGCAAAGGAAGTGCAAGCAGTCGCAAAATATGACCGCAGCCCGGCGAAGTTATCCTCACGAGCTAGGGCTTTGCATTTGCTATCAAATAATGGTCTAATGTCTTGCTATTCAATGGATTGATGGGTTTTCACTCAAAAAAGAACTGTTAAATAATCGTCTTAGGTAGAAAGTCCTCTCGTTCTATGATAAGGTTATTTTAGTGGACCTTCTTTTGCATACTTGCCTTTGTGAAGCAATCACGCCAAAACCCCTCAGTGGAGGGTTTCAGTGTAACTAATAATAGCTGTAGTTGAACTGTAGGTAGGATCTGATTTCGTTCGTCTCCGTTCGGAACTGGAATTGACCTACGAGAAGCTGTGGAGTCAACGGAGTTTCAAAACCAGTTAAGGAGAAGTTGTCAAGTACTTGACTGTGTCAAGCGATATTTAAAGGGATATAGTTGATCGTCGCTTCCAATTTGTACTATTGTAATTCTGTCATTAGACACCACTTGATGATTAATAATTATTGAACAAGGTTTAAGTTGTTGCGAACTCTTCCAAGAAAGGCGACATCTTCGTGGTTTTTTTTTTGTAAAGTCTCTTTCAAATGTAGCAGGAGTGCATTTCAGGTCCCGAACCATGTCAGGAGGCAGCAAAGGATCGGATTGCTGTTTTCCTTCTCGTATGTGAGTGCTTTTTTTATTCGAATATCTCCAGAAATTGGGTCATGGACCTGTCATTATGGCCATAACTCTAATTGTGATGAGCACATTGTGCAAGTGACCTTCTTGAAGTTGCCGTTCAGAAGAATTGCCTCTGGAATTGAAATTTGAAAAGCATTAGGAATGACGAAAACCCTCGATATGCAGCGCAGGCAGTGTAGAAGATCCGCTGAGGCCTGTCAGATCTTGGCAAATCCAGCCGACTGCGAATGTGGCTGGGATGCAAAGTCTGACGTCCGTCGTAAAAAGTTGTGCCATCTGATCTGTACTGTGTAAGTGGGCAGCTGTATATGAAGGTCAAGTGCCACAGAGCGTCGCAATCTCTGTTTGGATGGGTGGACTTCCATGTCAGTTAACAGTTTGACCAGGAAACAATTAATCGGTTTTTCATTACCACCCACTCCCATTTTCTTTTGTTTCTGTAAAATTCTCGTAGCCCTTTGGAAAAATATTTCAAAAGTGACGTTATCTTTATGGACTGTTTTTCAATTTTGACCAAGTTTTCTCATCAGGGCCCAATCGGTCATGAAAACACGTCTGAAGGGTGCACAAAAGGGTCATTCGCTGCTCAAGAAGAAAGCCGATGCTTTGAACATGCGCTTCCGTGACATACTGAAGAAGATCGTTGAGGTACTTTTCGTTCATGCAACGACTGCTTGGTTCTCTAATTTATTTGTTCATTTTAGAACAAAGTTCTCATGGGTGAAGTGATGAAGGAAGCCGCTTTCTCTCTGGCTGAAGCTAAGTTCACGGCTGGAGACTTTTCACATACGGTCATTCAAAACGTTTCACAGGCACAATATCGTGTTCGCATGAAGAGAGAAAACGTTGTAGGTTAGTGTAAATTTGGACATTTGATAAATCCTCGACTTCTGTTTTATTAAACGTGGAGCGATACTGTTAAGCCTCTTAGCTCCGCAGCAATGGGTGATGTCTTTTGATTTACTTACCATTTTTTTGATCATTTTCTGAATTGTATTCACCTATCTAACTTTTGTTTATGGCTAATTGGCTAATTATTGCATCTTTTCTTGCTACTGCATGGCTTTAAGGAGTAATGCTACCCGTGTTCGAAGCCACAGCAGAGGGTCCTGATGCTTACGATCTGACTGGACTCGGGAAAGGCGGAGCCAACATCACAAAGCTCAAGAAGAATTATAACAAGGTATTTATATTTCTAACTCTGGAGAAATAGTAGGAATTATAGTTTTTCCCAGCTCTATGCTTAAAATAATTATCTGAGGAACTCACAAGAAAAGAACAGTGTTGAGAATACGTAGTTTTGCAAAAAAAAACCGTTTGTTAGCTCTGTACTGATTGCGCGCGTACTGAGGTAATCGAGATCGGGTAGACAATCAGTGCTAAATTTGAGTTTTGCCAGGCTGACTCGCTCGTTTAAGAATCTGTTCATTGATCTAATTTTTCTTGTTGTGCTTTTTTATCCAAAAGAGTTCTTCTTCTCCTCCCCCAACCTCTTCTCGAAAAAGTGTCAATGTCGACACCTAAGTAGTAAAAGCGGATTCCATATGCATTATATAAAAAGAAAAGGATATGTGAAATTATGTTTGTTTAGTTTGTTTCTCTTGAGTGAAAAGTTAAAGTTTGCTTCGTTTAAGTCAAGATTACCACAGGAATTGAAAGCAATAGCACTTTCGCGCTTTCAGGCTATTGAATTGCTCGTGGAATTGGCTACTCTTCAAACATGTTTCATCACTCTAGACGAGGCTATTAAGGTCACGAATAGGCGAGTAAACGCCATTGAACATGGTAGGTTGCTTAGAATTCATAGGAGGTTGTGTTTGTTGCACCGCCAGTAGAAGTGGCCAACATGCGTTTACCGAGAAAACTCCCCGTTTGGATTTCTTTTGATGCTAAAATGGTGTAGTGTAGTAGCGCCATTATGATTATTGCGTTTCTTTCCGAATGACTCATGGAGAGGTTTTAATAACTTCTCGACCATTTCAGTGATCATTCCTCGTATTGAGAACACAATCAATTACATTGTGACGGAGTTGGACGAAATGGAAAGGGAAGAGTTCTTCAGGTGCTTTCTTGCTTTTGAATTTTCCTAGCGAGTGAATCTGGCTTTGCAGCGATGGGTTTCTATGATTTTTTCTTCCACTTTCTTTTTGGAGAACTCTTTCAAATAGTTAGAAAATAAAATTGGTGGAATTTTGGAACGGTTAGTTGTCTCCAAACTGCATGCACATGCGGTCAAATTTATCGGCTAAATGCCTCATCGGGTCAAAAAGGGTTATACACTTTTTGTGAGAGTCAACGAATAACCAAATAATTCGAATTGTTGAAGTTTGAATCACCGATTCTTCCTAAACGTTTACATGGTTTGGTGAAAATGACGCTTGGGGGAAGGGCTACACGGGAGAGTACTCTTTGGGCTCCCTAATGCTAGCATTAAAATAACGGTTAAAGACTTATTCTAGATGCACACTTTAGAAAGGAGAGAGGTTCCCCATCACCCGTACTGTCACATCTACGACATTTGCGGCATCTGGCATTTTAGAAGTACTTCCACACCATACCGCTAGTTGGAAAGAAGTATTCAGAAGAAATAAGATGGGTCAATTACATGTGATGAGCTCTCTTCCTCAGTATCGAAAAGCACAATGAGGTTCCTTCCCCTGAATTTCAGTCTCACCATGTGGCCCCGTTCCTTGCTGAGTAGAGACTGATGACTCGCTCAGTCCCTGTATTGGTTTGGTGCCCATGTGGAGTTCCGGGTGTAACGTAATTTATTATGAGCTTAGGATTTTTTCTAGGGTTGAGCATGTTCTCTCCTCATCTTGCATTTATTTCAGAATGAAAAAAATTCAAGCGAACAAGAAGAAGCAGAAGGAAATTGAGGCAGCAGAACGTGCTGCAGCTGGAATTGAAATTGAAAAATATAACAACGAGCACGAGAACTATGAGCCAAAGAATCTTCTAGCGCACGAGGAGGACATTCCAATATTGTTCTAGCGCTCAATATCGTCTGTTTTTCGTAATGATTCACTTTTCGGTGATTTTTGCCCTGTTGCTGTATCAGTCGACCAGTGATCAATGCAATCAGCTTGAAATTGCTACATCAGCTGGTAACTCGGGAGTGTGAGTTGCCCAAAACATTCCGATTTAGTTACTGTATTCGAATCAGTTCATAGTTACCCTAAGCGAACTTGTATAGACCAATTTAATAGCTTGTGATAACGTATATTTCATGTTTTGAAAATTCGTCAGAGTCAATAGAAAAGTTTGTATTTTGTTATATTACTTGTGTGGGATGTTCTTATTATTGTAAAATAAAAGTGCTTATTGCGGGTACTGTTGCTTATGCTGGGAGAAGAATCAGTCTCAAAACTACTTGCTCGGTTTGCGATGCTTTTGATTTGTTTCCCCACACTGTGAAGGGAAGTTTTCTTTGCGCTGTTGCTGACATCTTTGCCAACTGAATGTCGTGGTGCCCATAGAGTTCTCTCACGGCAGTGTGGCAGTACGTGGTTTCTGGTGCGAGGTCGTAAAAGCTGCCCCTCCACACAAGTCACAAAGACACTGGAAGGTAAGCATCTTGTTATTAACCACAAATCACAGTGGAGAATGGGTCCAAGTCAATATCAATTGCCTGACTTCTACAGAAACAAAAGCCTCGAGTGTTCTGGGTTGGTTTCTGACTGTGCAAGTAATAAAGGTACGCGCTTGAATCTATTCATGAGAACTTCTCGCTTTCAAGGTAACGGCCTGTACGAATAAGGTGGTTAATCACAGGTTCATCATAAAAGTGCATTCCATCTCGGGGAATCCCCTTCCTATTCCTTATCCCTCTCCCTCCTTCCCTCGAAGTATGCGTTTTTTGCGCGTGCCCAAATGGCCAGAAATTGTTCTCACTTTTCCCAGTTGGAGAGCTGGCGCGCAGAGCTTCATGAGAATAATGCTCAAAAAAGCTCATCATTGTTTTTGGTAGCCACGTGATTAATTTGACGATTACTGTCAATTGAGCAAAAATCAGCAATGTCTTATCTCTCTGGGTGAACTTGCTCACTAGGGAAAAATATAATAATTATCCATTCTATGGCAACTGAGAAACGGAAAAAGGGTTGACTCCGCCTCCGTCAAACAACTGCATTTTTAGTTTTTTTTGTTGACCACGAAACTCTCCATCGGGTCAAGGTGGATTAAATAACAGAATGGATAATATGTTGACAAAAATCACAGGCCCAAAAAGGAGTGTTTGAACAGCTTCATTGAGCTGGATTATGCTAAACAAAACCTTTGTGTTTACTCTCATACCTCGAATGCTGTCCTGATGAGGCTAGAGGTAAGATATAGCGTACGCCTTTGCCTTCTATCTGAAGGCATGTGCAACATGGAAGTTTAGCCTTTACCGATTTTCGGAACCGTTGTACCTCTATCTTTTTAAAGGATTTCTTAGTTAGGAAATTTCGTTCCTTTAGGTAACCACATCCATTTTAATCGATCGATCGACTTAATTCAATCCTTTTGAGACCCGTTCGACTAATGTTTCACAAGAATACTGGGTTGTGAACAAAACTTTCGCCCCAGGCGGGACTAGAACCCGCACCTCTCGCTTTCCGGGCAAGTGCGCTACCAGTTACGCTACCGGGGCACCATTTCATTCCAACTCAGCTTTTCATGGTATACGTACCATAGCTTTCAGCACTCACACGTCTAACGTGTTGAGCCGGTTAGCCGATATCGGCAATGACTAACATGGCTGGTGGCTTTTGAATGTGATTTGACCAACCTATAATGTCTTACAGGGACAAGTCGATGTTCACCACAATGCTGATAACCTCTTAGAACTAATGTGGTGCCGAGTGAGGGAGCTCCGGAGGGAAGGCAAGCCTGACTGGCTTGCGCGACATTTAGACCAGGGTTTCATTCTCGGATCGTGTGCATTTAAGAGTCTTCTTTTGTCTCTACATTATCACCGTCTCCAGTGACCACGTTTACAAAAAGCAGTACTGCC